TTGCACGTATTATATTTTCACTATACGTCAAAATGTAAAAATACACGCAATCACAATCTTCATCGGTTCAGCACTCTTGCAAAAATGTTCAGACGCTTTTTTAAATCTCAACTATCGATATATAACCGAAAATTAGTAAAACATACAACTTGGATTTTTAATTTATCTTTTCTCATTATTTCTATTGCATTAATTTTACGGCTACTTATTCATCACTCAAGTTAAAGGAAAACATGTAGACATTTTTACAAGTGTATTGAATTGATTACAAGTGTTATTTAGTGCATGTGTTCTTCAATTTCTACGTTTACTGTTATATAAATTAGCAATTCTTGTTCAATTTCTCGTGCAATTTCTTGTTCTCATGTAACAAGGACAGCCATAGTAAGGACTTAGAATCCTTATTATGTGTGTATTCTTTTCTTATATTCTTATATTCCATTTTAGCACATTTTCCTTGGAAAAGAATTAAACCGCAGCCAAATTTGTCTTCCGCAAGACAATTGGAAAACAATTCAGCATTTCATAACATTAACTCGCGACCTCCGAGTGCATCCACTTCTAACAATGGCAAGATTTTCTTCCTTTCTTTATTAATAAAGATAAATGTAGAGAATCTTTTTCTAAGTTGTGGTATATATTATATTGCATCGTTTTTTTAGAGAACAAGGAGAACAGAAATGTCTCGAGTTTTTAAATAAAGCAAAATAGATTGGAGGAAGAATCAAAAAAATCAAAAATTAAGGACAAATACAGTGATAACAATAATATTGCTGCAGTTAATTCTACATCGCCTGCATTAAATGGTAAATAAATTTTTTCAAATTTTTTTAAGTTACTAAATGTGTAACTTATTTTCTAACAACACATATTCCGAAATACATTTATCGTATTTAACAAAGTATATGTAATTAAAGTTATTAACGAAAATAATATACGAAAACAATTGGATAAAGTTACGAAACACTCATGTCATAGCTAATTGGAGTAAATGTGATATTTTTTGTACAGGCTCAATATTTTAATTGCAATAGTAAACACACACACATGACACACGCGCGCGCGTACACACACGCATGCACACACATTCTCTCTCTCTCTCT